AAAAATTTGATGATTAAAATCAAGTATCTGTTCATATTGAGAAAAAGAAATCTATGTAGCTATATCCTCCAACCAAATTTTAGATTTTAAAAAAATTTTAAAACAAAACAACCATAGAAAAAGGTAGAAAGTTTAAATAGCTGACAATTGACTCTTCATCTTCTTTTTGTTTGATAATTTTTTTTTTTCCATTTTTCTTCCTTTGGTTGCCTCTTCATCTACCACATTTATTCATGAATCAGTTACTTTTATCATTTGCATATTTTTATTTATTTGCCTTTTCATCTACCACCTTCATTATCATTTATAATTTTTCTTTTTTTCATTTATAATAATATATAATTTTCATATATATATATATATTGCATATATATATTTTAATGTATAAGGTGGCATTATATATATAAATATATCATACTAAGTCTAACACATGATGATCCATTGGCTACTTTCTCTCAAGGGTAAGCGTTAGCACATGCAAGTGTTAAGGGTAAAATCCAGGCATTATAATTCCATCCTCCCATGTATAATGCGTACAATAAAGGGTTGTGTTTTTCTTTCTGTACCTCTATGCATTCGTTTGAAAATTTAAATTTAAAAACATAAAAATTTAATTTTTTAATTTATTGAGATGTTGAGGCACATAGTTTACATGTATAATGTAGCGTAAACATGAAATATATGATAAGAAAAATTATTGATATATGTTTTTAATTTGATATACTTTTTAATATTTATATAGTTTAATTATTAAAATATAATATATAATTAATTTAACTAGTTTTTATATTCTGTGCATATTTAAATTTATTTTTTTATCTGAAATGTACAATAAAAGGTAATTATCTTTTATATTTTATTTCACCCCACTTACATGTCATACGACTTAAATTTATAATTTTTTACTTTCAACAGAATGAGATGACAATTAAATTATTTATATCATTAATTAAATTTATTTGATTTTAATTTTAAATTAAAAAATAATAATTTTTTAATAAATTTATTATATAATATATTAAAATAAAATATATACCAACCAATATTCATAAAAAGCAACATCACGAGATACAGTAAAAATTATACCGCCTAAGAATACTACGTAGTATATTTGTCGAATAATGTGTAGTGTTCTTTGGACCATTGTACTCTACATCAAAAGATCTCTCCTGCCGTTTTGTCCCATTCCATCCGCAGGCTTAACGGAATTAAACATCAAGCGTACCACTTGCTTCTCTGATAATGTGCATTGGATTTTTTCGTTTCTTTGGTTATGTAGCTCATCAAATTCCCCTTGACAAAAACAGGACTCGTCCTCCCAATCAAATATAAAATTTATAGGGTTAAAGCCAACTGTAGTTCTCGGACTTTGTGAAAATATTCATTACCATCCCTCTACTAAGGAAATGTTCAATGTCATCCCTTTACTTTTTTTACACCATAATTGTCATCCCTTTACTACTTTTTTTTTTATTAGATGTCATCCTTAATTGGATGCCATCCATTTTGCTGTTAACTTTGACTTGGACTGTTAATTGTCTAATGGTCAAATCTTTAACTTTTGTTAATTAATTTTTTATCCACTAACAAAATTTGTTAATTCTCTATTAAAATAAAAAAAAATATTTATAAGACATATTATCAAAAATTAAAAATGTAACAAGTTAATTCCAAAAGTTAAAAAAATATAAAAATTAATAACTTAAAAATAATTAGTAAATGATTTTATCACATATATAAAAACAATATTAGATATCTATAATTAAATCGAGTGATTAACTCAATTTAACTAAAAAAATCTAATTATGATTAAAAAAAATTTCTTGGCTATATTTTTCTAGTTTTTTAAATTTTTTATCTTAATTCAGTTAAGAAATTTTCTTTAATTTCAGTCAAAACTCTTTTTCCAAATTAAGCTAATTGCTCGATTTAATTATAAATATCTAATACCGTTTTAGTATATATTTTAGTATATGTGAAAAAGTTATCTATTAATTCTTTTTAGTTTACTAATTTTTATAATTTTTGAACTTTTAGAATTAAATTGTTACATTTTTAATTTTTAAGGATTAATCCTATAACTATTTTATTTCAATTTTAACAAAAAATTAACAGATTCTATTAATTTATGTGCTAAAGCCAGAAAGAATAATACATAACTAAAAAAAATAAAGAAATTGATCCCACTAGTCTCACTAGGTGGATAAAAAATTAATAAACAAAGAGTTATTCTAATTTGTATATTTAGGGTACTGGTTAAAAGTTTTAAAAAAATAAAAAATAATATTTAATTTATCAACTGTTTAATTAAATTTATTTATATGACAATGACATTAAAATTATTATTTACTTTTATATTTTCTTATATAAATTTATTATAAAAAAGTATCATTAATATGTGCTAAATTCATAAACAAAACTTAAATATTTGACCGTTAGGCAATTACCAGTTAAAGTTAACAGCAAAATAGATGGCATTCAATTAAGGATGACATTGAACAAAAAAAGGATAGTAGAGGGATGACATTTATGGTGTAAGAAAAGTAGAAGGATGACATTGAACATTTCCTTAGTAGAGGGATGATAATGAACATTTTTACAAAGTATGAGAACTACAGTTGGCTTTAACCCAAAATTTATATTGTATAGGGATTAGTGTTTACTGTTTGTACTTAAATAAAAATTAAGAAAAAATATTTAAAATTTTTTGGTTTTATTAAATTATTAAAAAATTGTAAAATTAACTTTTTTATATTTAGAAATAAGTTATTTTAATTTTTTAATAAAAATTTATTAAAATAATATAATTTTAATATTTTTTTAATTTTTAAAAAATACAATTGATAAATATATTTTTTAATTATATATAAAAAAAAGTATTATATATTTTAAATTTTATTAAATTATATAATTTAAATTACTAAATAATAATGATTTTTTTATATTAAAAACTGAACCCTTGTTTAATTATTCTTATTTTAATATCTACCTTTAATAATGCAATAAAAAAAAAACACTAACATTTTAATATAAAAAATAATAATTTCTCATGGTATTGACCTAACAAGAAACATCACAAGCTTACAAAAAAGTAGTATCTTCAAACTGGGTCAAAATAGCAATGATCTCCCAAATGCAGTTGCCTCCACCCAATCAGAACCCTCCAAAGGATAATGAGTGGAGGGCTTTTCCATCAAACCAAGGCTTGATCTCACCTCACAAACCCATGATTGTCTTAAAGTGGGCTCCATTAGTTCAGGATTGCCATCATATACAATCCCTATTTCTCCTCCTACTGCCCATTTGTCCTCTACCCCCCACCCCACTTCCATCCCCCCAGTCCAAGGATCCATCATAAGATACTGTAGAGCCCAATTGATGACCTCATATCCACCATTGATCCCCAGACCCACAACAATCACAAATGTGGACCCACCTAGAGATCATCTTAACCATGAAAAAAGGTGGGACCTTGAATTTTGCAGTGAGCAATGAATCCGACCGTTGCAATGGCTGATTTATGTTGTGATGGTGATGATGATGTGCAGATGCATGAGAAGATTTTATCTTGAATGTGAGTTTTTACATATTTGTTTACATTTTTTACACATGGGGACTAGAGACAGAGAAAGAGAGAGAAAGAGAAGGCACCAAACGGTGGAGTCTGCAAGGGAGGGGACTGCAAGTTCGAATTATTCTTCTTCTGTGTATGATTGCTTTTATAAAAATCTTCAGAAGTTGTTTTGGACTGTATGCTCACCCAATGTTACCACTTTCCTATCACTTTCTCTCTCTTTGGATATACAAATTTCTCTCCTTTTCATCCTTTAAATTCAAAGACAAAATTGTTTTTTTTTTTTAATGCCTAGATAGACATGGTGCCTCCCCGAGGCTGCGCCATCAGTCCAGAGCCGAAACGGAAGAAAGAGAAAATGGGATTTTTTTCTGTCTCTAAAAGCAAAGGGGGTGAAGCAGGGACACACAAGCCTTTTACACGTGATAAAGAAAGCACCAAAAGCACTTGCATGCGTGTATAAAGATTTAGAGATTCATTCATCAGCATCATTATCATCATCTCTCTCTCTTTCTCTGTTAAAATCTGAATCTCCCTCAAAAACGTTCTTTTTTATCTCCACTTTTGGTTTCCCTTTCAGTCCCTTCACGTTATTTGCAAACCCCGTCTTTTTAAACCTCCCCGTTCCTCTCCATTTCTTGGAGTTTTGATTGAAAGCTCACAATTTGGTGTATATACTCTTCAACTTCAGTTTCATGATGAGCTGAGAATTTGGTTGGATGGTCAATGGTAAGTGCAGTTGTTTGTAGCATTTATGAGGTTTTTTTTTTTTTTTTTTTTTTTTTTTTTTGGGTTTCTCCATTAGCATTTAATTTTTTTGGTCTTCTTGAGAGTGATTTCACTGCCCTTTTCAATGATTATTCCTTCTCTTTGTATACTAATACAAGTTCTTGTTCTTTTTGTTTTCTTCTAGATGGTTTTATTCTCTTTCCAATAATCCATTCCAAGTCCAATGGTTTCAAAATCTGTTCACTATAGAATAAATAAATATTTCCCATAATGCTCTTACTGTGTTTTTATCTGCTTGGGCTTATTCATTCTTGGTGTGAATTCTTTCTAATAAAATTTCAGTTTTTGGTAGGGACAAGGCTCAAGGTAAAGATTTTGTCTTGTGGGTATGTCTATTTTCTGGGTTTTCACTGCTTTATTTTAACATATTTTATTAATGTTCCTTCTTCTTGTTTTATGGTCATTGGTTTCCTAATAGAAGTATCTCAAGAAGGTCTGGGTTTTGGGATGATGTTCATTTTTGTCTTTGCATACATTTTTCTTGTTTAGAGCTGCAAGCCTTGTTTAGAACTTTGTGTTTATTATTTTTTTACCTTTTCCTTTTTCTTGGGGCTTTGAGATTTTCATATTCATTTATCAACTATATGCTTATATAATTCCACATGTAGATAGCTTGCTTAGCTTGCTTTCTCCCTGGTACCGCAATTACCAGCCAGATA